ATAGGGACACCAACGGAGTTGGTCTATATAGGTCCAACTACAATCCATAGAACAAAAAGAAAGATGTTTGAAGTGAAAATAAAAGAGTCCTACCCAACGACCACAACACCCCTCACAAATTACTCGAGTGTTACTACTATTGCGAAGAATTGAAAACAAATTATCATCTACTATGAAGGACGTGGGCTTCAAGAACATCTCTCCTAACAAACAAACAACATGAAGCGTGACATTGCAATAGTCATCGCATGCATAGAACCACTCCTTGCCATTTAATTTTGCTTCACATATTTCACACCAGTATTGACCACTTGATGTTTCTTCTTCCCCGTAGCAAAGAGTGAGTGGATGCTTGTCGTGCTTGTAACGTGTCACATTTGGCAAAGTGGCGCATTTGAGGCCCAGAAACGACTTGCATTCCATACACTCTAGAGAATAAGGTGAACATTCACTAGACTTACACCCCATGCATTCTCCTTTTGTGAGATTGAAGAAGAGATCATGTGGATGGCTTACATGGATAAAAGGATCAGGAAGAGAAGCGCACCTGATGTCAAGTTGGAAAGTGCAGCCTTCTTCGCCACATTTATACACGAAACCACAACATACTTGGTCACAACCATTGCATATGAACATGTTTTCCATATATTGCGAATAAGGTTGAACCCCTCCAAATGTCAATCGCATCTGCACGAACTCGTAATCCCCAGGAGGAATTGGATGGAGAACAAGGCGGTGTTTGTGTAAAGGATGGTCCTTTTTGCGAGGAAGGGATGCACATGCTTCGTGGAGAATGAAATTGCACTCCATGCAACTATAGGAACACTCTGATACTAACATCGGAAGGATGCATGCCTCACAGAACCTGTTTTCACCCCAAACGTTGTTGTCCCCATGGAGTTTAAGATGATGCTCATGGCTGAAATGTTGTATGGTCTCGTCATCGATCCTCACAAATGAATTTAAGTCTTCATCGGCTTCTTCAGGCACTCCTTCAAGATCTTTCCCGTCCCATACATTTTCTTCCATTGCACATTTGGAATGGACAGCATAATGACATCCCTTTTGACAAGAGAATTGGCCGTAGCTGACATTGATTGTATGGCGACATACTCCGCAAGAGAATAACCCTGAAGGA